GGGCCTGTGTGAAATAAAATTAAGCTCCTCCTCAATATAAGAGTTCTTTTTTTTCTGTCTGTCTGAATTCCCTGCCTTTTTATTTTAGCTTCCAACTATTATCAAACCTTCCTCCAAAAACAGCAGTAGAAATTAATTTGCTCTTATGTAAAAATAACTGATGGTGGCGGAAAGTGTTTCTTATTCCAGGGAAATTTTCATATGAATAAAGCCTCAGATAAAATGTTTGTAGAACCATGCTATTTGGTGACAGGCTGTTCTTCTTTATTGATTGAGAATTTCATGCATGTATACAATGTTTGACCAAGCCCCCCCCACTGTCTCCCTTCCAGTTCTTCTTTTGTCCCCACCACCACTCTTCCCTCCCAACTCCATGTATTCTTTTCTTTCTTTTAAACCCACAGAGTCTACTTGGTCCTCCAGTATGTGCGTGTGTATGGCTTATTGAGAAAATAAGAGACAGAATTCTCATGAGTCAAAGGTTAAAATTTAAGAGACTGCTCTGCCAAACAGAAATGAACCACTTTTCTTTCAAGTCCCCCTTTCAAATGTGCATGCATATTCATATATATACGGGTATACATCTTTGTGCGTATATACTTATACATATGCATGCATGTACGTCTAGGCCGGAGGTTGGCATCCAGTATCTTCCTGGACCATTCTCCTCCTGACATATTGAGACAGGATCTCTAACTTGAACCCAGAACTCGCTGATCAGTTCATCTCCTTGACCAGGTTGCTTCAGGAATCCCATCTCTGCCTCATGCACCTAGGGATTACTGGTGGGCTACCATGCCTACCCAGAATCTATAAGGTGCCGAGGATCCAGTCCTCATGAGTACTTTACTTTGTGAGTCATCTCCCCATCTCCAAACTACTGTACCTATTGGAGGTTAACTCAGTAAAAATGGATAAAGCTCTCTGTGTAGTAAGTCTTGTATCTATGGGCCATGGATCAAAACATTCAGTAAAAAACGGCAACCATACTGAATATGTACAAATGTTCTTCCTGCCATTACTGTAGGCAACAATTATATAGCATGTACACTGTATTAGGAGTCAAGGCTTATCTAGGGAATATTATAAGTATACAAGGGAATATGTGTAGGTTATATGCAAATAGTACACCGCGTGATGTAAAGGGATTGACCACTTGAAGACCCTAGTATTTATGAGGGTCATGGAAGCAATCACCCACATTTCCGAGGGAGTCATGGCTGAACTTATTTAGCAAACTAGCGTTTTACCCAAGGCTTCAACCTCTGCCGAGACATCCACGATGTTATTTTACTTTAAGAGAGAGTCTAGTATTTCCAAGCTAAGTTTAGATGGTTTATTATCCAAAGAGGAATGTGCCACAGCATGCATATGGAGGGCAGGGACAGATCCAGGTGTCAGTTACCACAGTCTCTCCTGTTTGTTGTTTAATGTATAATGCCGGACTAGCTGGCCTATGAGTCCCAGGGATCTTCATGTCTCCACTTTGGGAACATTGGGGTTACAGACATGAATCACCACATCTGGCTTTTTTGGTAGGTTCTTTGGATTCGATCTCAAGTCCTAATGCATGAACAGCAAGCCCTTTCCCCACCGACTCCTCTCCGCAGCCCCAGCACTTTATTTTATAGAGCACTTCAAGTTTCCATTCTTTGGTCAGTTCCCAGGAACCCGATATATTTTTCAAAGGTCATCTTTAGCATCGCCCTTTTCTATCACAGGCTCATTTACACTTAGCACAGTATCTGATGTTTTTCAGCTGAATCTCTCTCTCTTTCTCTCTCTCCCCTTTCTCTCTGTTTCTCTTCTTTCTCGCTCCACTCCCCTCCCTATGCCTGTGTCTCTCTCTCCTATGAGTCATTATAATTTCAGGAGAAGCACAATAGAGGGTTAGAACCTGTCGCCCACACTCTACTGTAAGTGAAAGGAACCAGAAGACAGCTTCTCTTCTTGTAAATGTCAAGTGTTCACCTATCTCTATTGAGGGCTGGATAGAACTTCAACCTTAAAGGCCTAAAGGGGTCTGAGCAAAGCTCTGCGCATCCGGAGACCAAGCTGACTCCCCACAAGGCCATCTGATTGGTCGTTCTACTTTGTTCTTCCATCGGGCTGATCTATCTGTAGTCCTAACTTGGTTCATGGTTGTTTGCTCAAATGTGGTGGGAGACCCCACCCCATTACTGACCCACAAAACAGTCAGCCAAGCATTTCCTGGGTTCTCTTCTGGGGGACAACCCCCTAACCCACCAAAGGCAAGGTAATATGAAAGACACACAAATGGACAATTCTCAAAGTTAGCAGACACTCCCCAGCACTTGTGGCTTGGCTGAGCAGTGTACACGGGGAAGGGCAGTCTGGTAAAGACTTTCTCCCAAGTCTTTGTAAACATTGCTTCCCCTGTCTTAAGCACTTATCCCAATGCTATAAGCTACACTGTACTAACCATCACTTATGCTTGGTCCATGCTAGGTGGAAGAAGGTTGCAGAAAACACACCCTAGAGTGTGACTTGCTTATTATCACAGCTTTGATGAGTACATTTCAAAGTCTTATTTCTGCAAGCCTTCCCTGGGAATGGGGTAGGGAGGATAGCAAAGGAGGTTAACCTGAGGAATTCAACCAAAGCTGCGTTTTGCCATTGAGACGATTCTGTTGCATTCGGAAAAAAAAAAAAAAAAAAAAGGCCTGCATTTAGGCATTTTGAGGATGTGACCACGCAGAGACAGAAAGAGGAAGTGTGAAACCCAACTGGCCTTCTGTATTTCCCTCCGGAAAATAGCTTACAGTTTTAATTGCCCACCATGTTTGGCAGCTCAGAAGGAAAAAGGCAGTTCACCAAGCCCTACTGGAGCAGCCTTCAGGATTAGAAAGTACTCCACACCTTGGAGAGGCTAGGAGACAGGAGAATCATTTTAAATGCAAATTAAATTGAGGGGGTAGCAGAAAAGAACACATAAAAGACGGTAAAACAAAACCTTTCAATTTTCTTAAATTAGCAGGCTAATGTGTTCTAAAGAGCAGCCCCACTCAGATTCCATCTTGGGGGGTAGCATTTCATCACAATATAAAACCGGCGGATCCATCATTTCCCTCCACTCTGTGCTCTTGACTGGAGATTGAAGGGAAAATTAGAAGCTGTTCATTTGGGCTTGCCCGGCTCAGCAGCCCGGCTCAGTTTGCTTTCTACTCCCGGGGCTGCATCCTGTTGAAGGAGGACGAGGGCTGGTGAGTGACTGTCTTCTAACTTGGACAATCTTCCCTGCATATGTCTCTCTGGCTAGCTTGCCTTTGGTGGGCTAGGGGCTTGTCTCTCCGAAGAGCCGTGCTATAATGCGTCTTTCAAAAAGCTGGGGAATTTCAGGCAGCTTTTTAAGCTGTTTCTAGGGACCGATTCACAGAAGGGGTTATTTTCAGCGTCGGTGCTGGTGACTGTTTCTGTGTGTTAATTATAATGGGGATGTTGAACATGCTGTCAATTAAACGGTCTTTCTTCATCATCCTGCCTCATTCAGCAATAAGGTAAGGACAGGTACCCCAACACGGTCTAGACAACTTAGTCTTCTCCACTGTTTAATCATTTACCACGTTATGTTTTGTTCTGACTGCAAAGCAGACTGGAATTTGAGATGGGAAAAATAGATTATTAAACCATAATTCTGATTTTTAAATAAGTATGAGATTCCTCCGCTTAAGAGGTGGGAGAGCGGGCTGTGAATGACCCTGGTTGCTGTAAAATCTACATGTCGATTTTGATGGTTCCCTGCCAAAGTTTTACATGGGAAAGTGGTAATTTCCTTCATTTGCAGAGGAGGGAGTAGAGAGGCTGAAGCTGGCGTCACCTTCTGTTGCTAAGGTAACATGTTCTGGCCATTTTATCTGATAGAGCAAGTCCAGTGGACAGAATACATTATTCATCACTGATCTAATCAGATAATCAAAACTGTTTGCTTTCGCTGGGAATATTTAGTAAGATCAAAGGCAGCTGGTTGAAACTGCTCATTTGGACTATTGACAGCCCTTGGCTTGACAGCTTTATTTTTGCAGTAAGTATAATTTGCTGTTGGGGGTACCTTTGCCTATTTTTTAAAAAGTTTCCTCTTACCAAACTTGGTTTCTTGGATGAGAGTGTGTGGTCTTAGAATGCAAGTGATTGTTTGAGCCTCTTGATTTTTAAGGACTTTTTGTCTTTCTCCTCCTTAAAGCAATAACAGTGCAGAAATAGAAGTAGTTCATCTGTGCCCGCATCGGGGGGAACCTCCACGGGCTCCATGAGAAGGGACGTGGCTGTTTTTCACGCGGGGCTAGTGCATGCTATGGGAAAAGTTGCAAGCCTGTGATGCTTGTCACTGTTGCATGAGCCATAGTTCTGTACTGAAGCAGCCTGTACCGGGCATAGGCAGATGAGCCGGTAGCACTGTAGAGAACGCTGAAGGGATGGCTGAAGAATAAGGAATCCAAGGTATTTGTACAGCAAACAAGCCCGCATGTATTGCAAGGTATCTAGGGAGGAGGCTCAGATTCTCAGAGGGGATTCTCTCACTACAGGGGACACCAGAAGCCCCTGGGTCCATGGAAGAGCAACCTGCAGGATGGATGACACTTTCTAATGCCATCTATCAGGCAGACTTTTAAAAACTGGAAGTAGATTAATTTGAAAGTATATCTTCTGGCAGCTACTATACAGCAAGGAGAAAACAGTATGTTACTTCTCTTTAACCTGGATCATTGCTTGTTCTTTTTTTTCTAAGTGGAATATATTATTTTTAATCAGTGTTAACTAAAGGTTGCGTATTCTCATACAATACAAAGACTCTGGCAATAGGGGCTTTGAAATTAGATATGTCAGTCAAATGTTGGCATATGATAATAGAGTACTCTTATTTTTTTAAAAAAAATTAAAGAGTAGACATACTTGACAGCCTGAAATACTGTGGGTTTTTTCCCTCTTTATAGATATCTACGTGATTAGCTTCCCTCAAAATCCTGCTTTGAACATTGAAGATGGATTATCCCAAAATGGATTATTTTCTGGACGTTGAGTCTGCTCATAGACTCTTGGATGTGGAGTCAGCACAAAGATTCTTCTACAGTCAAGGAGCTCAAGGTAACAAACGGAAAAGAGAGAAGCCCCCCTCCCCTCAGGCTGCTTTGCGGCAAACCATGCAACGTCAGCTGCAACAGCTTAAGCTCCCTCTTAAAAGTTCACCGATTAATACTTCCAGATTGATAGCATTTACCAAACTGCTGCTGGAATTTCAGAATAGACTAAATAAATCCACTCATCTTGGGGGTGTTAACAAGTGTTGGCTGCAGACCTCCAAGGGCGGTGTTAGAAAAGGATTCCCACCTCCTTGAGTCCGGAGCTTATGCCTGAGAGGACTGAGGAAATTTTTCGGCAGGCATCTATTGCACTGGTGGAGGTCCTTGGGCACCCTGACCTAGCCGAGTGCCATCTGGCTGGATTGTGGGCTTCTGAGATAAGTGTGTCACTTGTGTAACTGCCTTATCTACACTCAGTGGTCTGGGTTGCTGCCTGGAGAATCCTCAGTGCACATTCAAGGCTCTCCACCCCCTTGTATGAAGTGCGGCAGTCCGTGTTTTCATTACCTAGTTCAAGATAGTCGATTAGGCTCTAGCGTGCTTGCTCTTCTCTCCCAGGTTCTATTTAGAATGTTTGCTGTTGTTAAAGTAACAAAAGGATCCCACATGTTTTATCCTCATGATGGGTAGGAGATTTTTTTTAAAAAAAAATTACAGTTTGTGTTTTTCATGACATTCTAAAGATGTTCAGTCAAGTGATGGCTATACCCCACAGCACGGAGGTAACACACTGAAAAGGAAGACAGTGGTCCTGCTTAAATAGGAAACTAGTTGAATTCTTGGACGTTGCAAAGCAGAGATGAATAGGAGATACGCTGTGCTGTAATCCTGGCATCTTTCACTGTTGCATGACAGGAAACTCACCTTGAGCAATGATAATAATCCCCCCGGTTTCCCCAAGTGTTCTTATGAATTGTTTTTTGCTTTACTTGTGACTTGAGGTAACCTTGTGGGCTTGTGAGCATCCTGCTTCCATTTTCTGGGTGTGAGCCCACATTCTTAAGGTCAGGAGGGGCTGGATATTATCTGCAGGTTTTGTTCGGGTCAGCAGGCTCAGCAGCATAGCTTGATTTGGCAAAAATGATAACATGGCGAATCCCCATCCTCCAAGAGGAGGGAGACAGCATTGCTGCCGCTTTCTGCCTCTTTAAGAAGTGTTGCTAGGAAGAAGCGTGAGAGGATAGTTAACATCTATAGCTTGTCATGGATCTACAAGTAGGTTGGTGGTTAGAAGTAGGTGTGGAGCTAGAAGAGAGATGAGAAGAGAGGGACTTCCACCCTGTCTTTCTACTCTTCCACATCTGCCCGGGTGCATGCCATTCTGAGCCTTGTTCCATGGCAGGTTCATCCACCTGAGCCGCATATGGAGAAAAGAAATAGCTGGCTGGGAAGGGTAAAGCTGTCTGTTCACTTTGTCTTGAAGATGATGGACTCTTGGCTTTTATGGAAGGAAAGCAGGCAGGGTGTGTGGGAGGCTTGAAGATTACAAGGCAGGCTGGTAGCTGCGGCAGATGGAGCTCTGGGGGTGGAGTGGTCAGAATTGTCACCAGCAGTGACGGTGGTTTAGGCTCCAGAGCTGGAATAACTGGGAAATACATGGGAAGTGGTGGCATAAGCTATGTCTTCTCCTTTGGATCGTGTGGGTGAGGAGGATGCTACCCCCAATCTAGGAATCCTAGATGTGCAGGACTGAGAGTGGTCTCCCCAAACATCAAATAGGTCAGGACCCCCAAATCAGAAATGTAAGTGTTTCTGAGGTCTCGGAGTTTGCAGTTAAACAGGGGTGACAGGCAGCCTTGGTGAGAGAGGCAAAACCCCTCCCTTGGGACCCATATTTAAAAATCAATGCATACAGCCTTTGGCAAATTGACAACAGTGACAGATTTCTAAGTTGTTAAGCTCATTACTGAGGCAAAGTTTTAAAGTGTTTAAAACAATGTCTGCGACAAAAGACACTGTACGTCAGCAAATCAATAAAACAGATATCCCATGTTAAAGGACCTCCCTCCTCTGATGGAGAATCCACGAGATAGCTCAGACTTTGCAAATAAGAAATGTTAACTTATAGTAATTCAATTTCCTGTTTCTAGTGAAAGGCAAGCATACACACATGCACGCACACGAGGAATGTTTAGTAAACACAGTATCACTAAGATTGTGTGTCTTGTCCCAGAGAAACCTACAACAGGACAAACTTCAGCAATAGTGGAAGTGTGCTCTGATACATCCCCCTACCCGCACTTTTACTCTGTATCAAAACATGGTCCCAGATCCCCCAGCACCTAGGACCATCACCATGGAGTCTCCTGCTTCTAGGAGCTCTGCCTCCACTGTGACTAGGAACTACCATCCCCAGCTCCCCTGCACCAGCCTGTGTGCACTGTGCACGGGTAATGAGTCTTTCCAAGACACCAAATCCCTAGGCCTTTGGAACATTCCAGGTGGATGGTGAGCGGGTGAAGGACGTACAGCACGGCCTGCAACCCTCACTTCCCACAGCAAACACTCATGTTCCAATGGATGAATGAAACTTGTGTTGAATCCATGTCAAGTCTGAGGACTAGGGGAAGAGAAGGTATGTGAAAGGCATGTAGAGCACAGAGAATTTAATCTCACTCCAGGCAGCTCTCGACTCAGCTAGATTAGACCAGTATTGAGCGGTATAAGGAAGCTGAAAGCCTGGATGTGATACCCTCTTCTGAAATGCTCAGTGGGAGTTTCATACAGATGTCACAGTCAAGAGCTTGGGTTACCAAAAACCCGGTTGGCTAGGCTGTTGTGTGTTTGTTGCCTTTGTCATTCATTCATGTGGCAATTTCTATAGATTGAACAAGTGTTCTCAGAGATATAAAACCCTTTCAGGAGGCAAGAAAAAATCTGAGGGCTCCCCTTCTTCCTTCCCTGTGTTGTACATACTGTTCACAGAATTCTAGAAAGCAACAAAACAACACCTTCAAAATCAATTATAGACAAAATGTCTATCTAAAACAATAGTCTTAGAAGTATGTTTTTTGACTGGTTTATGGGTATTTTAATTTAATTATTCTTGGAAAATGAAAATATCCTGTTCCAAAGTAGAGGAGGGTGTTCTAGTTAGCTAATACAAGAAGAGTCTAGGGAAGGTTCTAGAAGGGAGGGTAAAAAGAAGTCTGCAACTTTTCAAAGTGCCTTCACGAGTCCCTGAGACTGTCAAATCTGTGCCCTGTTCTGCTAATGAAACAGCTTGTTTTCTCCAATATCCATTTCTCTTTGGTGTGAGTGTAAGATGGGGAGAATTATCTGACTTGGAATTCTGCTATCAAAAACAGGGTATGTTGTGGAGAACAGGGTGGGGGCGGCGAAGCCCACAGGCCTCCTGGTTGTCCCCTGGAGACAGATGATGCTCTTCTGGTTAGCTGGAACTTCTTTACCCCCAGAAAATCCTGGCAACATGGAGGGAACTCTGTGAAGGCCACCTGTACCTCAAGAGGAAGGTTCTGGAAACTGGAGGTCCATACGACTTCAAAGAGCACAAGGGTCTCCATATGCCATAATTCAGGTTTACCCATCAGTAGATTCTGACAGTGATACTCCCTCCCTTAGCTTTAAGCTCAGTGATTTGACAATACCCAACTGAACTGAGAAGGACATCATGAAATTTTCCTGGTTGAAATAAACATCAGGCAAGCCCTTCCCTAGACTAAATGAAACAGAATCTGAATGGCCAAGTCTCTCAAACACCAACTGCCAACAGGCTTCTGCGTTATTCCATGTTTTCTGCATGATTAGTGCTAAAGTTGAAAAAGAAAGCATTGTTTCTAGTATAGATTAGAAACACACCAGGAAATTTCACAAGGTTCTCCATGACTGAAGACCCACTGCGCCACAATTGAATCATATTCTCTACAGGGCAATGCCCCAAAGAGAATCTTTTTAATTACTTCCAATGAGCAATCAGGACTGAGATATATTATACATATTATATATATATTATATATATAGTGCATCTTTACATATATTTATTATCTTGGTCTTATCACATCGTATAGCTGTTTTTATTTTTGTTTGGGGAGAGTGGTGAGTGCTGGGGATTGAAAACAAAGCAGGTACTCTACTACTTTACCAGTAAGATGCATATATGTATTCTATTCTGCTGTGCCTATTTTTGCCTGATTATATATTTAAGTGTTATAAACTACCATAAACTATATTTCCCATCCGTGATAAAGATAGATAACATAGGTGAGCACTCTGCCACTAAGCCACACATTTATCCCCCAAGGTCATCTCTTTTAAATGGGCTCAAACCATCAAGAGGGGCAAATAGACATCAAGAAATGAACACAAACCAGAGACTGCACTTGACATATTCATTGCATGTGCTCATTCTCAATGAAACATTGGGAGATCAGAACTGCATCCTTATGTGCAGGTTGAGGATTAGAACATTTAAGATTGGGGGCTGGGGAGGTAACTCAGGGAAATGCTTGCCACAGAAGCCTGAGGATATGTGTGTGTGTAAGGACATGGGGTTCTCCTATGCTTGGAAAAGTAGAAATGGGAATCTTTGGTGCTTGCTGCACCGACAACCTCAACTGAGTTCCAAGACCTAGTGAGAGACTGAGTCTCGGAAAATGCAAATGTAAATAGTGCCTAAGAAACAGCGACCAAGTTTGACAACTGATATCCTCAGTCACATGCAACGTACACGTGAGCTCACACACAGCTGCAATTTAAGATTGACAGATTAAAGAGTCTTGAAAAAGCCATCCATTTGGATATTAGCAAAGCTAGGATCTGATTGAAGTATGTCCAACTACGAAGTCCAAGCTCTTTAAAATATCACAGTGTTCCTTGCTGGAAAGAGATGCCTTTTCAGCTGGCCAGGTTGATAAAAATCAACCAGGAAGGCAAATGAAGGTAATGCTGATGACCGTATCTCACTTCCCAAATGGGGGAGCTCAGGCTCTGAGTGAGTCCATCACATGCCCAGTCACATGGCTTCTCACGAGAGGCTGGAGGGAG